ATACTTGCTGAGTGGTAGAGCCAAGATCTGAACCCAAATACTTTTAACCACAAGGTTATTTGCCCCAAATCTTGTCCATTCTACCTTGAGTATTTAGCTGACTGAATGTGAGAAGAAACTTTGAAGAAAGGGAATAATCTTAATCTCCTAAATGACTTATCTTCTGTAATAATTTGACCGTAGCAGTGAAAGTTGAAGCTGGACACTAATTAAGGAGGAGATGCAAACTTTGTTGTTGAATTAGGTTTTCAACATTATTGTCTAAATTATCTAGACAGGCATGGGACATTGCATATCTATTTTACATGCAAGAAAATGCCTCTATTTTGATGTGATTTGTCAGAGGGCGCCTGAGTTAAATGGCATATTTGGCAGAAAGTTTCCTGACCTTGTATTTCATGATATTTTATGATTTTTGCCGATAGACCACCTAGTATCATATTTTGGACTTGACTGAAAACACCTTTCAAAATAAAGAAGTAAGCCCTTTTTGGTCCTTGTGAGGTAGAAAGGTAGGGGTAGATCAAGGATGAATAATTTGTTGGAGGAAAAAGAGGTGTGCTCCAGGTACTCATCGCAAACTCTAGAGGTTGCATATAATGACATAATAACAAAAAGTAACACAAAATTCACAGTCTCCTTGCTTTCAAGTACTTCCTTTCAGATCGAGAGGGCAAAGGTCATCCCAAGATCTCTCAGAGAAAGGTCTCCTTTTCGTCATAAAATGAAATCCCTGGACTAGGGACTCCAGAATTCCATTGAGGCTGTATCCAGCTCTTGCCTTCATGCCCTGAATTTAGTGGGAGAGAATCAGGCTTGGCTGATACTGGATACTTCCTCCTCTTCCCCTCCTCCTCTTCTTCTCATGTCCATGGAGGCCACTGGCCAAGTCCACTACAAAAGGGTTCTTAAGTTTGGGATTCCAAAAATCCCATCTGCCTTAAGTCCAAGAAGAGGTGTGGATGTGACTTTGAGTTTTTCTTGGGGATTAAAACGTGATATGTATTGAGAATAGATTCATAGACCAAAGCATCAGGGACAAGGAAATATGTGTTTCTTTTGCTTTCTGCTTCTTGGAACAGGGTGTTCTTGCCTGTTTTAGCCACTATCTGGAAAGCAAAAGTCTTAAAGGGGACGACTTCTGCCTGTGGTGTCTGCATCTCCACCAGCAGTAAAGTGTGACCTCAAACCACTAACCATAGCTCCAATTACCTCTTTATGACCTCCAATGAGGCATGGGGGACACACTGCTCTCATAAGTAGATGCTGACAGAATTTATTTTCATGTGTTATGGATGTGGGTTCTAAGGGAAGAGGCTCCTGAAACATCTGGACCATAGTGTCTTGGAAGGAAACTGGGGGACTCAGAGATTCATTAGGTAGAAAGGACGTTGAAAGGTCTCCTCATTTGCCCTCTTGCCTCTAAGAGGAAGCAAAACAGAAGTAATTTTCAAAATGCCATCTTTAAAAGACTTGTACAAAAGGTGATTTTGCCTCTGCCTGGACATCTCAGTTGGGGGCTGTGCCACTTTCACCATGATGGTCAAACACAGCCTCTCTTGCTGGAGTTGGGGCGCATTCTTCTTGTGCCATCTAGAGGCCTGTTTGCTCCCACCTGAAAGGTCCTGTGCCCTCCTCTCTGACCAGGCCAGTGGGTTCCAGGGGAATTCCTCCACAGCCCTGGTGAGAAAGTTGCCTGACCTTTTCCCCACTTATTAACTGGGTAATCTTACACAATTTACTAAACTTCTCTGAGACTAAATTTTCTTTTCTGTAAAACAGAAATAATAATGCTGTATCTTCCTTATAGTGTTGTGAGGTGAAAATGCTTGGTACCTCAAAAGTCTTTAATAAATGTGCCTTGCCCTTTCTCTTAAGCACAACAAAGAGATCACACTCTATGAACCTGTATCCAAAAGATTTTTTTTCCTCACTAACTTTTTTTACATCATCATGCATTGAGGACAAATACATATTGAGTACTGCCATTTATACTAATTGTTTTGTCTACATAGCTGACTAGAATGCCAGCTTCTTGTGAACAAAAGATGGCCTTTCTCTCCTACTTAATATAGGCTGGGCCCACAGAAGTGGCCAGTGAATCTTTGTCCAAGAGACCCTGATGGATGGTTCATATGATCTTTAGAAGGTCATCTTTGTCTTTTCATCTCACACTAGAAGGTGAAGAGTGCTTCACACAAAGCCTGGCACGTAGTAAGTGTTGAATGAAGTCCATTCTGCCATCCCACTTCTATAGATATTCCCTTACAGGTATTGTTGACCAATTCTTTGGCTTCCTCTCGAAATCCTCTCTGAGTTTCTTTGTATCTTTTAATGTGTGACTCCTCTTTATAAGACCCTGTCTTAAGCTAATGTGAGGATGAAAGGGAGAACACAGTAGACCCTCAGCTCCCACCCTTGGCCTGACCCCTCCTTTTCTGGGACGTTGTTCATCTGCTCATGACAACCTTCTTAGATGTGAGGTAACAGCTAGATTCAACCCCTTTAAGTGATCATCTGGGATCTATAACCCAAATGATATTTTCCTTAATCTTGTCAGAGTCCTTACCTGAGCCTAGAAGAGACCCAGGTGAGAAATAAACCAGACTTCTGAAGGCCTTACCAAAGCAGTGTAGCTCTGGGCCATCAAAATGCACTCTGTCCTAGGTGTTATCGTGAGTGCAGTGTCTGGCTGGAGAGCAGCTCCACTTCACTGTGTTGGGTTGATCTAGGTTCCAGACCTCAGTCTTCTCCCAACCCTGACTCAGACTTTTGGGTCACCTCTAGCAGCCTATCCAGTTTCTTCACCACCTTATTTCTCTACCTGCCAAGCAGGGTGAGAGCATCTACCTTCTGCGCCCTGTGCTCTATCCCAGATCATGGGCATGCCTACATATTGCCAGTTCTCCCCTTCAGGGGACTCAGAGGAAAATGGCATTCTTCCTTCATCCCCAGCTGTAATCCCAGCTAGACTTTCCTTTGGCAGCCAGTGATCTAGGAATTAATACCTCGTTAACCCTTCCTCACTCTCAGATTATCTCTCAGCTGTGACTTATGTGTTCTTTAACTGGCCCATCTCCTGGGTGGAGATGATAACCAGGCATTTCTGAGAGCCCCCAGGTTTGATAGAGTGGCTAAGACATAGGGACAAAGCCATAGTGCAGGGGTAATCTCTGTTGTGGAGAAGAAACTGGTGTCCCCAGAGCTCTCTATGGTTCCAATGGGAAATTGTACCCTTGGAACTTGGCCCAGCCATTATGGTACAGGCAGGAGGAGTCTGCAGATATATTGTATTGCTTGTGCAGTCACATCCACGGCAGTTAACATGCACCAGACATTGTCCTAAGTGCTTTCCACATACTCACCAGTCCTCATGACAAACCTGGGAGGTAGTTATTATTAGCCCCAATTTGTAAAATTGAGATGCACAGAAGTTAAGTTAACTTGCTCAGTGTTACCTGGATAGTGAGTGGTAGAGCCCCGATTCAAACCCAGACAGGCTGGCTCAGGAATCTGCTGCTACATAGCAAAGAACAAAACAAAACAAAACAAAACAAACAAACAACAACAAGTAAAAAAGCGTGAAACTCTGACTAAGGAATCCAGAGTCCAGAATTTATTTTCCACAGGGCTGCTGCCTCCCTGGACATAGGAAGTTTGGCCCCACATTCTCTCCCCTGTTGCCGACCCTAAACTTATTCCCCAACAAAAACTATCACCACTAAAGAAACAAACATTTCTCACAAAATGTTGAAATGTGTGTGAGCAGTGCTGTGTGTGATGGTGATGATGTGGGGCAAAAGAACAGATCTGGGTTCTCATCCTGCCTCTGCCACTTATGCTACTGTGTGTGACACTGACAGGCGGCCTTGACTCCCTGAGCCTCAGTTGCCATGGCTGTTCCAGATGATCTCTGGCATTTTCTTCTCACTGTCACAACATGTGGGCTCTTGGTCATTGGTTTGTCTGGGTTCAGTCCACTCAGAGCAACCTCTGTTGTCGATATTTGTCACACTCTGACAAGGTCCATGGCTAAGTGCATAAGTTGAAGAGTTGGGAATGAGGGGAGTTTGAGGGGAAGAGATGCCTCCCAGTTTCTGAATTTACTTGCCTGTGATGTACCTTCTAACAAGAGAGAAGCTTACTTCCATTTACTGGATTCCAGCTGGGAGACCTGTATGCCTTTGTGGGAGGAGCACAGAGGTAAATTTTGGCTTTGACTAAAACTCCTGATCCAGACTCTACCGTTTACCAACTGGGTCACCATGATTGAGTTTCCTCAAATGTAGAAATGTCTACTGTGTAAAATTGGAAACTGGAATGACTGAGTGAAATAAAAATAGGATATATATATAGTCTAGCCCAATGTTGGGCACATAGAAGGTGCTCTCTTTTCTTTAGAGAAGGGGGTGAAGGGAGTATGATCCTGGTCAGTGATGGTGCCCTCTTCCTGTCCTTTGGAACTTTCCAGTTACCCCTGGTGTCTATTCTGGGTGCTGGTGCTTGTGAGTTGTGAGACTGTTTCCTATGCTAGCTGCTGCACAGCTCACTGATGAGGACATAATGGAGGTTCCAAAAAGACCTGTTTCTTGAGGGAGCACTCTTTTTCTCTGACAGTAGGAAAAGGATGGAGAAGCAAGATCTCTTAGGTAATGCTAGTTTTCCGCTGATACCCCAGGACAGCCCTGGCCAGAGGAGCCTGTGGAGGCTCTGCAGAAACTAGGGAGGCAGTGTGTCACCCATATGAAGGAGAGTGAGGGTGCCAGGACTGTAGCAACAATGACCGTGGAGGGCAGCGGGGGAGGAGGAAGACTCCCTCTCCTCTCTCCTGGAGGGGAGAGTGGTGAAGAGAGACTGCAGGGAGGTAGAGGGAAGAAAACTTTTGAAGTGAGCAAAGATTCTAAGAGCACGACGGAGAGCGGGGAGGGAGGGACCTGGGGGGAAGGGGGTGGAGAGTGAAAGAATAGGAAGAAGTGGGAGGAGGGAGGGTGACAGACTCGAGTCAAAAGGGGGTGGGAGAGCAACTGACAGGCTGAGTGAGAGCTGGGAAGAGTGGGCAGCGGAGGAGGTAGCCAGGAGCCCAGGACCAGAGAAGCCCGTGGAAATTCCAGAGAGAAGGACTGGGGAGAAGGTAAGGATAGACGTGCTTTTAAGAGATGAAACTCTCAGTTGATGGGAAGGAGCCAGAAGAGAGAGCCTGGAGTTCCAGGCTGGACAACAACCAGAGCTCCTTCTCTGTACTGGGGGCTTATTCCCTACCCCTCACTAGTCCCTGCGATGGTGAGGTTGGGATATATGGAGGAGGAGGATGGTAAAGCAGCAGATAAGTTACTCACTTGATTTCTAAGGATCTGCCGAAGTGTGAGTGGAGGGCCCTTGGAGCTGGTCTACCTCTGGCGGAGTGGCTACCCTCCAGGGGCATCTTCTAAGTAGCTTAGCAGTTCATTTCCAAGAACTTTGGTTAAGATGAAATTGGCCCTTTAAAAACAAAAACCATCACTGTATTGCGGTGCTTCCTCTAGGCTTGGAATCTTTTTTGAACTGCCTTCCACAGCATCTAGGGGAGTGTTTTGATCCCCCCTCCCAAGGCGTGTTGGGTGGTTTAAAAATATTCCGTGCTTAGTTTCCTGCAGAATGTCATATCCCTGCTGTGTGCTGTGAGCCGGCTGGCCTGCCACTCACTGTCACTGTCAGAGGCGAGAGGCTGGTGAAGATCCAGAGGGGAAGTGGGGAGAGGTGTCACTGAAGGTCCCCTTTCCTCCTGGGTACAGGGTGAGGTAGACAGCCGCGGGGCACAAAGGTTTCTGTGGGCTCCCTGACCCCTCTCCTGAGCATGTGGTGAAAGAACCTGGGTTCTTGTGCCCTGAGTGGCTGTGTGTCCTTGCCCCATTCTGGGCCTCAGTTTACTCATCTAGAAAATGAGGGGTTTGTGGGGCACCTGGGTGGCTCAGCTGGTAAAGTGTTCCATTCTTGATCTCGGCTCAGGTCTTGATCTCAGGGTTGTGTGTCTACTCCAGCGTGGAGTCTACTTTCAAAAAGAAAGAAAATGAGGGGTTTGAAATAGAAGGATCCTTCCAGTTCCATTCAGCAGTAATGCTGTACAAGGGTATGATTCCTTAGGCTCAAGTATTCCTTGGAATCATGGCAAGGGGAAGCTAGTCACAAGGATTTTACATCTGTACTACGCCTTTGTTCAATTTTAACTGGATTCTCCCTCCCGGTATGCCGTCATAATGGAGGGATTTCTGGTTTTTCGTCCTCAGCGTCTCATAAGGGTCTGGCCCACTGGGTCTGACTGGCCGGAGGAAAGGAAGGGCAGAGCAAGGAGCACTGGCCGGGGAGTCAGGAGACCCAGGAGAAATCTAGCCAAATGAGAGGAGACAAAAGCCTGTATGTGGTGATGTAGCACCCCCCTTAGCCAGGTGGCATGGCTCACCACTGAGGACACAGGCTGGTATTTATAGGCACCACAGCCTGACTTTCATATCAGCAGGCCTTCGTCTTTTCCACCCAAAGCCTCCAGAGCCCCAGTTCAGCCCAAGAACCTGATTCACTGCTCTCTAAGGACAGCTCTGAACTTTCCACCTTCCAGCAGGTTCCCCAGGGCAGTGGAGCTGTTTGGAGCCTGCTGCCCTGGCCATCTCTCCCCATCTTCTCCTTACTCAGCAGCCGCCGAGGAGCAGTCCCCTGACCACAGTGCCCATGGTGGAGGAAACCCAGAAGTGTGTTTCCTGGCTTCCAGACTGGTACCCTCTGGCTATCCCTTCAGCCAGATACATGAAGTTCATCAAGCCACGTCAGTAACAGTCACGGTACCTGGCTTTGCCACAGCCTTAGAGCACCAAGGATGTTCCTGCTGGACTCCTGAAACTGGTTGTTCTTCTTGTCCCCCAGCTGCCTCACTCCTGTCCCCTCTCCTTATCCTGGCCAAAAGTCCTAGGCCATTAGGACTGGAAAAGGTCTGTGAGATTGCCTGTCCAGTTCTTCCACTAATAGGGAAAACAAAGCGGAGGAAAAGGAAGTGACCTATGAGGGATGACGCAATGAGTCACGTTAATTTGGTTGGGAGAATGTCCTGCTCTGCTCACTCATTCCTAGGGCCCTTCGGACTTCTGTCCTCAGCTGTGTTCTCTGAACTTCCATTTGTCCCCAGGCCTCCCTGCTTCTTCCATTTAAGTATCTCTACGATCTTGTTTTCTGGCAGGAATTCTCACTTGCCCACCTGCTCCTCATTATCACTGCTGGCTGTTGAGGGGTACGTGCAGTGGAAGGTTCGGGGCTCTGGCAGCCTGCCGGGCTACCACACTGCAGCCTGGCCTCTTGGGGACTGGCTGATTCCACTGCAGCCACTGAAAGCAGAACAGGGTGCCTATCTGCCTGGATTAGTCAGGAGACCTGGAGTCCTCAGGGCCAGCAAGACCCAAGGCCCAGGCTCTGCTCCCTGTCTCAGGGAAGATCTCACCCACCTGGGATTCTCGTAGGTCTCTGTGCCAGCTGGCACCACCTTGGGCTCGAAGATTAAGCTGACCAAGGGGAGAGATGCCCAGGAAAACTTCGTCTCCTAGAAAAGAAACCAATTCCCTTTCTAGGGCCAGAAGCTATGGATTCCTGGAGAATGACAGCTTGGTTCCACTTGGTCATTCAGTTGTTTCTGGATATTAGCATATCATGGGCAAAAAAAAAAAAAAAAAAAAAAAAAAAAAAAAAATTCAACTTTCAACAATCCACTCACTTTCATAAAGAAAAGGAATCAGGAGGTCTCAGAATCAGGGGTATTGAAATAGCACAGAGGGATCTTAGAGTTCATCTAATTCGGGGATAGGGCAGAAGGAAGAGCCTGGGCATCTGGAATCACATTTGGGTTAGAATTTCAGCTGTGTGGCCTGGGGCAAATTATTTAACATCTCTGAGCCTTAGTTTCTTCATCTGCCAAAGAAGTTAATAAATGACTTCCTTGTAAGGTTTTGTGAAGATTAAATAAAATAACACAAAGTTTTCCCCACTATCCAATATGTGCTCTACACCACTTCATTTTTTTTTTTTTAAGATTTTACTTATTTATTTGAGAGAGAGAGCGCACACACAAGCAGGGGGGAGGGGCAGAGGCAGAGGAAGAAGTAGGCTCCCTTCAAGCAGGGAGACCGACATGGTGGGGGAAACCTGTATTTAAAATGACTATTTTAGGGGTGCCTGGGTGGCTCAGTGGGTTAAAGCCTCTGCCTTCAGCTCAGGTCATGATCCCAGGGTCCTGGGATCTAGCCCCGCATCAGGCTCTCTGTGCGGCAGGAAGCATGCCTCCTCCTCTCTGCCTACTTGTGATCTCTGTCTGTCAAATAAATAAATAAAGTCTTTAATAAAATAAATAAATAAAATGGCTATTTTATATTAAGTGCTCAGTGAACAATGGAACAATAGGGTAGAATCCAGGTTAGCTGGTCCTCAGCTCATATCTTGGAACTACATCTCATTTGATGGAAAGGCCTCCCCCACGACATGGAATTCTGAGAAGGTACTGCTTCCTTTTTATGACGCGCAGATTTTTTTTTCCCTGGGACGACTTTTGCTGACCTCTAAGCTGGGGTGGGGGGTTAGAAAATCTAGCTGTGCCTTTGGCTCTGCCACTGACTTGCCATGCTATCGCAATTGGTCAAGTCACAAACTCCCCAGATGTTCTAACTTAGCAGCCATCCAGCTCAATTGCTTTCTCTTATACACAAGCAAACTGAGGCTCAGGGAGTGGAATGTCTCATACAGAGCCACAGAGAAAGAGCTGAGACTCGGAAGAGCCTTTCTTTCAAGGCTCTTGTTCACAGATAATTTCCAGGATCTTAATTCATCCTGGGATTTTCATGATTCAGAACTTCAGGAGAGGGCAGATGTGGTTAGGGGTAGGGATGGCCCTCCTCCGCAGGTCACCGATTTCTCTTCCAAGTAGAACCGAGCCAGCTTCAAACCTACCCTAGTGGATGTGCCTTTGGACTGGTTGATGAAGAGATTCAAAAGTGCTGCAGCTTTTCAGAAGTCAGGGATTACATGAAGCACACATTTTATAATGTGGACTCAAATGAAGTCCATCTCCAGGCCCAAAGTCCAGAACCAGGCTGAACCAATTACAAGAATGAAAGGGGACTGATCTCAGTGAGACCCCGTACCTGCCTTCTTCTCCATGCTTGCCCCTGAAGGTCTGCACGCCTAGTGAAATAACAGATGTACAGTGAAATTAATATCCTTCCCATCACCCATGTGTTCCTCACCTTTCCCACATGGTGCCCCGTGAGCGTCCTTTTTGGGTCTCTCTCACCAGGCTGCTGCACTGCCAAATTCAAATTACCAGGTTGGCTAGTTGGATCATGCTTGAGAGGAGTCTTTACTGGAAATGTCAGAAAAGAAAACAAGGAACTAACCTGACTGTCTATTATGTGCCCGGTACTGTTTGAGGACCTTCCATACATCCGCTTACTGTTGAATCCCCATGAGTAAACATTCCCTCTTTTCAGATGAGGAGGAAACAGACAGGCTGAGTGACTTGCCTAAGGGCACACAATTGGTGAGTGGAGGCAGGGTTCAAATCCCACTACTCTTCAGGAAACACTAGGCCCACCTCCTATTTTTGTTTCAGTGGTTCTTGTTATGATTTGACATCAATGGAACACCAGAGCCTGTTGTCTGGCCAGCTGAAAACCCGGCAGCAGACATGGCTGCAGCCAAGAGCACTTAGTGGCTAAAAAAGGAAATAACTTTCTATATGTGAATTCTGGCCAAATGGTGGCAGATGCTGAAGAGTCTGGGAATCCTGACCACTGTGGGCCGCAGGCGTCGATGGAATCATTAATTCTAGGAACAGCATAGGCAAGGGACGGCCAGCCAAGAAGCCAGGGGCTGAAAGGAAAAATGCAGGGCCTCTTACGGGAGAGTGGGAAAAGCCCTGCTCGTGGAGTTCAGAGACTGGACAGAGTTCCGGTCACAGGTTTGTCACTATCTGTCAGAACTGGGGCCTCTTTGATTTTTCTTTCCCTTTTAAAGACACAGTGGGAAGGTAGGCTTTGCAGTCAGGCAGATTGACTGCAAGTCCCTTATGCAGCATTTGCTACCTCTGAGCCTCAGTGTTCTGAGCTGTAAAATGGGATAATAACTACTTTCCTAGCAGAATTAATATAAAGGTTAAAAGTATAGTTGTAAAATGTTTCATACGTGGAAAACACTCAAATTCGTGGTATCTGTTATCACTAGTACTTAATTTCCCTGGACCCTGGTCTTCAGCTTGTATAAAAATAAGGGATTGATTTTGCTTGATATCTAGATTCCTTTCCTATGAATCCATGAAAAATGGTGGAAATACTAAAGAAATCTAAGTGTCTCATAAATACAATTTTCATTAATAACTGCATAAGTTTTAATCAACCTTTTCGGGGTACTTAATAAGGACCTCCTAATATTTCATTGTAATTGAATATCTCCATTTGGCCACCACTTCCCACCCACTTGTAAATATTTCTTCTTCCAACAATTTAACAAGAAAATTACGTATCTCAGCATAATTCTCCTTCTCCACTTTGCTCTGTTCCACCTCCTTGGCTTTGAAACAACTGTCTATCAGCAGAGTGTTTCTGAGCAGACCACTCTGTCCTTGCTAGAATAAAATAATGACATAGAAAGAAAGGTTAATTATCTGCCATTGGCTGGAGTCGAAGGAAAACCAAAGTGACGCTTCATCTCCTCCATCTGTCTCCTGCTTCTTTCTCATCTCTATCTCCCTCTCCTCTCTTCAGTGATCAAGGTTCAGGGGTGGAAGCCCCCACTGGACTTCTGAGGAAGTTGCCCACATGGCTGTAGGACCCATTTGGTTGTTTCCCCTGAGGTTGAAGAGGCAATCTCCAAATCGCAGTCAGGAGAGGAGTGGAAGTCCTAAATGTAAGAATTACCCCCAAGAACTTAGAAATCGACCCCCGATTCTAACAGTCACCTTGAAAACCTCCCTGCAGCACTTACCTTGTGTCAAAGTGGCCAGCCTCTGACTGGTGAGGATTTTTAAGGAAAGGAACTTTAGGTCATTTAGATGGGATCCAGCACAGTTGTGAAGGCAGGCGTACTGCTGTCAGACAAGACCAGAGCTCGGTTTGATGTCAACTCTACCACTTACCAGCAAGTCCCCCTCAAGTGACATTGCTCGATCAATCTCCCTGAGCCGGTACAAAGGGGCTGGGGATGAGCCTTGCTTGCTCAATTGTTGGGACAATCAAATGAGAAAAAAAATATATCAAGAAACTTGAAAAACATCTGGCACATAGAGAGGTCTCAATAACTTAATTTTATTATTATCATTATTACCTAGATTCAGAGTTTCTTGTTGTGTAAGTTTAGGTAAACTAGAAAATGGAGCTGAGAATCTCCACGGATAACGAAGATTCTGGAGTAGTGGAAGATCAAGACCACTTTCTTATGCAATCCTCCCTGTGTCTCTCCATTTTAGTGAGAAGCTATTGAGGGGGACGGTAGGTCAGAAAAACAGGTATTAATGAAAAAGAAAGGTGCCGAAGAGTTCTGAGATGATGTTATACTTAGTGCTTTACTTTATAAAGCCACCTCTGGTTTCTGGCATAGCAAGAGAGCTCAATAAACACTTTATGAACTGAGCTGCACTGACATGATCCTGTGTCCAAGGATCATTTAAGTGAGGCCCTTTGGGTCCTTTTACAACAGAATTCTCTTAATTGGGAAGCAAGTCAACCCTGCTCTGTGCCACATTCCACTGTGTGATGAGCAGAATTATAGCATGGGCCCAGAGTGCTGTTATTATTACTGTGAATAACAACCTTTACTGAGAACCAGAGATCTGTTAGATAATGTACAGAACATGTGTCGTTGCCCAGAATTAGACTCAGATTCTGTGGAGTGATCTTATAATCTAATTTTGACAAACTTGAGTGAGCACCCCAGTGATATGTGGGGAGGAGGTGGAGAAGAAATAGTCCATGGTGAACGGATGTGTCTCTGCTTTAGATCCATCCAGTCCTGCCTGGCTGAGCCAAGGGCTCGGTCAAAGGCAGAAGGAAGGCTCAGCAGCTTTAGTCTCCCTGCTGTTCTGGTCACCACATTCACTCTGCAGGTGCCCTAAGGTCACTTCCCAGGGAGCCCCTCTACTGGATTAGGTGTTTTTGTTTTGTTTTGTTTTAAAGATTTTATTTATTTATTTGACAGACAGAGATCGCAAGTAGGCAGAGCTGCAGGCAGAGAGAGAGGAAGGGAAGCAGGCTCCCTGCTGAGCAGAGAGCCTGATGCGGGGCTCGATCCCAGAACCCTGGGATCATGACCTGAGCGGAAGGCAGAGGCTTTAACCCACTGAGCCAGCCAGGCGCCCGCATTAGGTGTTTTGAGTGAGCTAAATGCTGTAATTTATTTACTGTTGTTGATTTTTAAAGGTGTCAACCAACTGGGTGTAAGGTACAGTCTTAAGCACCAAGAGGGAAGAGGGGGTAGGGGGACTTAGGAGGAGGATACAGTGATGAACAGATATGGACCTTGTCTTCAAGGAGCTCAGGGTAGAGCTGGAGAGAGAATACATAGCCAGTAGAGCTAATCATTTTCATTATGTATTTGAAAACCCAGTGGTTTTACAGTTCAGTCCAAGGCTCAGCTGCTGACTTGGTGTGGGGGTGGGGGACACAGAAATTAGAAAGCCTGTTACGTGTGGCTCCAGAGGACAGAATTAGAATCAATAGAAGAGAATTTTCAAGGCATCCCTATGCTCCCTTGCAATATGCTTTCTTGAGCAGGAGAGACAGGGTGCTGTTTTAGCAGTGTGCTGGACGAACTTGTCACCTGCAGCCTGCCTAGTTTATGCTGCAGCCACTACCAAAGGACTGCCACCAGCAGTATGATTATTGACTGTGCCATACTTTATGTCCCCATCCTATTTCAGGGCTGTGTCCCATTAGGGTCTGCCCACAGGAACAAGTCATGTACTGAACATGGTTATGTAAGGGTTGAGAACTATTCCAAACTCCTGGCATGACCTCAAAGCCTCCATAATCTGCCTCTGCCTATTCTGCAGACCACCCCCTTGTTCTGCTCATTGTCCTCTAATACCATGCTGGTTTTCACTTGGTGGGTTTATTCACGTGGTTGCCTCTGTCTGGGATGCCCCTGTCTCTCCCACACCTCCCCTCCCCCCCTACCTCTTACCTCTACAAACTTCACCTCCACCTAACTCCAATTCAAGGGTTGCTTCTTTGGAGAAGCCCAGAATATTTGCACAGTTGGTTGTGTTTGTATCCCTCACTGGACAGTGAGTTCCTTCAACCCAGAGTCTTACTGATCTTTGGGTTCCTAACTTCTATCACATAAGTAGACACTCAGTAAATGTTTGTGAAGGTGAACTGAATTGAACTTTTCCATAAGCCCCTCAGCACCTCCCATCAAGTGCTGGTCACATCAAGGGACCATCATAAACATTTGCTTGATTGCTTAAAAACCGACCCCCAGGCTTTAGCACTAAATGGCAGTCATGTCTCAAATATCTCACTGCTGGAACTTCAAGCTCTGAGGTGGGGAGACATAAGAATTGATGCGCTTCACCCCTAGAAGGAGGATGGAGGGAAATTTTCTGGTGTGCCCCAGAGTTGATCAGGAACTCTGAAGTGGTCTAGGTTCTACCTCTATTCATCTTCATTTCTTTGAGCAAATCTCTTACCTTCTGTAGATGTCTCCTTCTTGCAAAACAGAGGCAATAACCAGCACCCCAAAAAGGCATAAAAATCCTCATAACTATGAGGATTTTTCCATTCAACAATAGAAACTGAGTGTCTATATGTCCTAAGGTAACCAGTCATGAACAAAACAAATATGGTCCCACCTTCTTGGGGTCATTAAGAGAAGGGAGGAGAAGCACATCTTGAACTGTATAAGGTTTTACTTACTTATTTTATTTTAGAGTAGGGACGAGAGAAAAACAGAGGTGGGGAGGAGCAAAGCTAGAGGGAGAGAATCTTAAGCAGGCTCCACGCCCAGCACAGAGTCTGACATGGGGCTCCGTCTCACAATGCTGAGATCATGACCTGAGCTGAAATCAAGAGTTGAACACTTAACTGACTGAACTACCCATGGGCCCCTGTAAGGTTTTCTTTTTTATTTGTTGGACATAAGAAGGAAGATTTGACCCTCTGTAGGATCACTCTGTAATCTTACTGCTAGATCAAACATTTTTTTTTTCAATCGTTAAGAAAGCATTTATTATGTACCTGTTGTGAGACCTTAATGCATTAAGAATACAAAGTAAAAGACAGGGCTTTTGACTTGAGAAGTCTATTACTCATTTGAAGGGAAAAGCTGTTAAATCCTTGAGGCCAAGAATTGTGCCTGATTTTATTAATTCAAGATATCATTGAATGCATAGTATGTGTCAGGTCTGGTATCCCCTAGATATTATTTTCAGTACCCAAAATAGTGATAGACACATAGCAGGGACTCAAAAAAGTACTTGTGGGTTGGCTGATAGAAAGAAAATTTTGGAAAATCAGTGTAAGGCAACATATAAGTGTGACTGTATCCTACATGCTGAACAGTAATGTGGAGTCCTTATTGTTCAGGAGATTTCAAAATGGGCTGAGATCAATTTGAGAAAAGAATTCTCCATTTCTACCTACATATGTGGGGCCAGAGGAGGAAGTCCTAGCTATGAGTTTATGTTAACCTAGGTTGCTCTAAGTTAGTTTTCTTTGAAAACACTGGCTGTATAGGGAGGCAAAAATGCTAACACTGGGTTGGGAATGTAGGTACCTGAATTTTATTTGTAGTCATTTAATACACAAAGTAAGGGAATAAAATGATCTATGTTCACTATACACAATAGCCTTCCTTTGGCCCTTTCCCTCTTATCCAAGTGCCATGTCACTATTACCAAACAAGTTCCTTGGTGACTCCTCCAAATGTTTGTTTTGTCCCAGGATATGACATGTTGAAAGAAGATGCTGAAGGTTTTTGAGTGAAGAAACTACAGAGTGGGGATGTTCTAGGGACTGGGTTCTAAGGACCATCTCTTTTACCTTGGAGACTTCAGAACTTGTATCAGTTGCAAAGGGCTGTAGAATTTAATTACCCAGGGCTCCTTAGAAGGCCCTCCCCAATGCCCTAAGCCAGAGTAACCTCCTGCCATGTGTCCCACAGCACTCCCTTAATGTTAACACACATTATGCTTTATTGCAATGTGTTCGATCTCTCTCCTTCAGGCAGGGATATAAAGGCAGTTAAGTTCAGTAAAGTCAGGGACTCTTAGTTTTTCTTTTTAACTGCTGTGCTTTAAGGGCCTTGCATGATACCTGGTAACCACTCATATTAAATGAATGAATGAAAAGGAAGAAGGACCTGGTAGGTAGAGGGGGTATGAGGAGCTAAGACAAAGAGGTAAGAAGGTGTGGGCCATGTACACGTGTATGGGAGTAATGTAGCTTAAAAATGGAGTATGTGAGAGGAACAGGGAAGAAGACAGGACTGAGCTGTGCTGTGGAGGATCTCAAGTGCAAGTTAAAGAGTATGAACTTTATAAGCAGTAGGAAGGCAGTGAAGATCTTAGTTAAAGCAGTGAGGTATATTATTACCATTGTATTTGATAGAATTTATTCATGGCACGGGCAGCTTCCTTTGCCCCTCCTAACACACTTCCTGCCAAGAAACATATAATAATCTACAAAGCATTTTATATGCTCTACACCCAGTAAACTCAGTGGGTATCTAATTTACATATTTCTTTGGCTGAGGTTGTGGGGGACCCGAAGGGACACAGTGTAGCTGGGAAACTGACTTTCATATTATAAACTGAGCAGCTGGTACTTGGTAGCAATTTTAAGTTTCTCTGACCTCGCCTGGGTCATCAGGAAGTCACAAATGAGACTTGTCCTGTACCCTATTTGCTGTCACCAGGGTGCATGAGGTCTGCCCCACCCCCACCTCATCAGCTAGTGTTTTTCCCTCCCCATGAGGCAGCCTATAGATGTCACTGTCTTTCTCCTCTTCCATGATGTTTCTTTCTTGTATGCTTGCTTTCCTTCTTCCAGGTGGGATTCCTCGCACCACAAGTGAGGGGGTTAGCCACAAGCCTCTTGGCAGACCAGACCAAAGCGTCACATTCTTTGTCTGGCCCTATTTTTAGACCTCCTGGGGGACTTGCAAGGAATGAGTGGCAGAGTCAGAAGATCAAGGGAAATGTCTTCAGGGATTGAGGACAGTTTGGAAAACTTGCCCCAAATTTTGGAAGAATATGACACTTGTTTCCCTTTTTCTTGTTTCTTTTCCATTTCTGTTTCCCTTTCACTTTTTCCCCTTTTGCTTTTCCATGTGTTTCTCTCTTCTTTGTAATGCACTTCTCTCTATTTTCTCTCTCTCTCTCCCCCCTTCTCCATTCCTGTCCTCCCTCACCACTTTCTTGCTGGTAAAGGCAAGGAATTATTCTTTAGTTCTTATACACTGAGCACTGTGTTAAGTGCTTTTTATACATTACCTCATAACACTGGATGAGCTAAATAATAGTATCTTCATTTTGCAGTTAGGGAAATTGAGCTACAGATCCAGTAGCTTCTCCAAGCTCAGCAATATTGATAGGGTTTTGAACTCCACTTAGCTACCCCCAAACTATATTCTCTTAACCACTACATGGTCTCTTTTTTTCCATTCCAAACTCCTGCTTGTCTTTCCCCTCTTTTTGTTCTTTTTTTTCCGTTCTCTCCCTCTCCTTCTTGCCCTCCCCTCTCTCAGACACTCAGCATATCCTGGTCCCTGCATGTTGTGTGGATGACCCTGAAGGTGCTGAACACTATGCACGTGCCCAGAAGAGATGACAGACCATTCGCACTCTTATCTAATCAGCCATTTTCCTTCTGAGCAGATGCTCCACAGTTTTCCACATTTGGAGGCTAAGGGAGGGGGACTCTTCACCACCTAGGGGAAAGGGCAGATGTCTGAACACAAACTAGAGGAAAGGCTTCAAGACCTGGATGAGTCTTTGACACGGAGGGGGACAGAGATAAGGCCCTTTCCACTCATGTGTGGACTCTCAGGGTTGGGGAGTGGGGGCCTGGGAGAAAACAGGGCTAGGAGCCTGGTCTCTGTCAAGGTATCAACTCAGGAGTCAAGGAAACCTGCACCATGAAATATGGCAACCCACACTGCCCTTTATTTGCATAAAGAGTGTTTGGATAGGAACCAGGGGCATACTGACAGCAAAGATGTGAAGGTCAAGGTGTGAACCTGACAATCTCTAAGATCCCATTAGATTCTAAGGTTTTATGATCATAAGAATGGAATATTTGTAGTTCAGTTCCCTCCTCTTTTTTTTTTTTTTTTTTGTCATTCTGTTGATTAGGATTGGTTAGAGGCTTAAGCCATAAGGACATTTATTGCTCATCAAATAAGAATTCTGGAGGTAGGAGATTCAAGAGCTGATTCAGAGGCCTCAGGACATTGGTTGGCATTTCTGAGAATCTCTGGACAGCCTCAGACATCTTGGTTCAAATAGTCCTGTCCATGGGTAGGAAGTAGTCGGGGTGGTGGACAGGGGGACCTCCTGTGAGACTCCCTCCATTTACTGGGGGATGGAAAACAGTTTCTAGAGCACTCCCTCTACATAGATTCTTACCATACCTGACTGACCAGATCTAACTGCAGAAGAGACTGAGAAAGTGAAATCTGGTCTTTTCACCCTGCTGACAGGATGCAGGCAAGGAATAGGGAACTGATTAGCCACATCAGAGCCTGCCACCCTTCATTCACTCAACTAAGATTCCCTAAGATTATCCACTCCAGCCCAGGCTCTGGGCCAGGTGATGATGATACAGAGGAACAGTCAGTCTCTGTGATCAAGGAGTGCCCACTAGAAGAACACAGACAGGCAGAGGGCCACAAAACAAGAAGGGAAGTGCTAGGAGGGAACCAAGTGTCCCTAAAGCCACCACAGGAGCTGAAGAGGCTCAGCTTGGAGGAGCAGGGAGGGCTGCAGGGAACCAAGACTGGGTTAAGTTCTGAGGGTTAATAAGGATCTAGCTGGGGGTGGGGGCAGCGGTTATGTAGAAGGTGGCTGGGAAGAGGGCATCTGGGAATCTTCCAGAATGTGGCAGGCAGTACAAAAGGAACTAATGGGGACAGACAAGGAATCAGGCTGGAGAAGCAAGAAAGGGCCTGCTGAGAGAAGGTTCTGTGTGGGACATAATGGTTTGGGGCATTTATTCTGGATGAGCAGGTCTGTGCATGGGGACCTTCTGCAGGAGGATGAGGAGCCGTACCTCTGAAGGGCTGCACTGCCCCGAGTTGTGGGAGATTGGCATCGCCAGCTGCCTCCCAGCTGCAAGAACCCGAGCACTCATCAGCAGCACCCAGAGCTGGTTTTTGTTCACCATCTCCCAGTACAGCTGGGGATGGTTCTGAAGGTTAGGGGATGCATTCTGAGAGTCCAGACTTGCCACCGCCATCCCCACTCCTTCCTCTTCACTTAGTTCCTTCTGAAACCAAAATAATTCTTTCACTTGATGCCCTTTCAAACATATGGAACATTTGAGTTATGATCCCTAACATATCACGTACCTCACCCTTGAAACTCTGAGGCAGCTGTTTTCCATCCCCATTTTACAGACAAGGATGCAGACTCAATGAGGCACAGGGCCAGAATGGCAAAAGCAGAGAGAAGTCCTTTGTGCTTCCTGCTTCACCAGTGTTTCTCCAGGCGTGAGCTTTGCACTGTCTGCCTCAGAGTAACCTGGGCTGCTCGGGGCAGATCCTGGTTCCAGGGGTGGCCCCAGACCTCCCAAAGCAGACTCTCCAGAGGTAACAGCACAGAACCCACTCATAACAGGCTCCTCAGTTGATTTCTAGATCCATTCAAGTGTGGGAATCACTCTCATCTTGTTAACACGACCATTTTTAATCTTCGATCTCCTTTTCCTTTTGCTGGCCTGGAAAAAAGAGAGCTTTTCAGGTGAATTTGGCTCATGAGTTGCACTTTCTTAAAGAATGGATCGGTGGAGCCCTAGACCATCCAGACTTTGCAGAAGCATCCCTCTCCTTTTCTCTCTTTCTCTCTGCCCCATTTGCAGAAGTCCTGGTGGCTGTCTCCTGCTGAGTCAGGATGGGTGACTGGAGCTTCCTGGGAGAGTTCCTGGAGGAAGTACACAAGCACTCTACAGTGATCGGCAAGGTCTGGCTCACCGTCCTCTTCATATTCCGCATGCTGGTGCTGGGCACGGCTGCCGAGTCATCCTGGGGGGATGAGCAGGCCGACTTCCAGTGTGATACCATGCAGCCCGGCTGCGGGAATGTCTGCTACGACCAAGCCTTCCCCATCTCGCACATCCGCTACTGGGTGCTACAGATCATCTTCGTGTCCACGCCGTCGCTGGTGTACATGGGCCATGCCATGCACACGGTGCGCATGCAGGAGAAGCGGAAGCTGAGGGAGGCTGAGAGGGCCAAAGAGGTCCGGGGCACTGGCTCTTATGAGTACCCAGTGGCTGAGAAGGCAGAGCTGTCCTGCTGGGAGGAAGTGAACGGGAGGATTGTCCTCCAGGGCACTCTGCTCAACACCTATGTCTGCAGCATCCTGATTCGCACAACCATGGAGGTGGCCTTCATCGTGGGTCAGTACCTCCTCTACGGGATCTTCCTGGACACCCTGCATGTCTGCCGCAGGAGTCCCTGTCCCCACCCAGTCAACTGTTACGTATCCCGGCCCACGGAGAAGAATGTCTTCATCGTCTTTATGCTGGCTGTGGCGGCGCTGTCCCTCTTCCTCAGCCTGGCTGAGCTCTACCACCTGGGCTGGAAGAAGATCAGACGGCGCTTTGTCAGATCTGGACAGGGCACAGCCGAGTGTCAGCTTCCTGGCCCCTCTGCTGGCATGGTCCAGAACTGCACACCACCCCCTGACTTCAATCAGTGCCTAGAGAATGGCCCTGGGGGCAAATTCTTCAATCCCTTCAGTAACAAGATGGCTTCCCAGCAGAACACCGAGAACCTGGCCACTGAGCAAGTGCAAGGCCAGGAGGCGATTCCTGGGGAGGGCTTTATTCACATCCATTACAGCCAGAAGCCTGAGGTACCCAATGGGGCCTCCCCGGGTGACCGCCTTCCCATTGGCTATCCAAGTGACAAGCGCCGTCTCAGCAAGGCCAGCAGCAAGGCCAGGTCAGATGACCTATCAGTGTGATCCTCTAGTGTTGCGGGGGGGAATCCAGGACCAGGTGGGAACAGAGGAAGCTCACAGAGGGAAGATGTGTCCCTATCGACCCCATCTCTCATTCTCATACCTGCTCTGCTCCTTTTGGGCTTCAGGTCTCCGTGGCATTGCTCATTTATTCCAGAAGGTAGGACCAGGCCTCTTCGAGTGCAGGCAGTGACATAGTTACCCACCCCAGCTGCTGTCCCTTCCCATCCTCTACCCAGTGTACATAGAAGGTTTTCAGATTCTTTGGTCAACAGGCCAGAGGAAGAAAAAGGAACAGTGGTAAATCAAGCCACAGGAGGGATAGCCAGAAGGACAGAATGGCTCTCTACATACCAGCCACATACCAGATGGGTTCTCCAAGTCTCTATGGATTCCTCGACCCGATTGCTCTTCTTCTTGCAACGAAAAACCCAAAGATCCCAGCCAATAAAGAGCATCAATCAAAGACCTTCCATTAGATGTGCTCTTGAATCTGTTGTCTCCATGGGTCAAAATTTGGAGTGATGTTAAGGTGGCCTTGGGCTGCCCTGGGCTGCCTTCCCTGTACCCAGTCTTACTTAAAAAGAGGTCCTTGGAACTTGGCCAGCAGCCTCAACTTTACAAGTGTTTTGGTATGTACCTCTGGCAAATGTCCTACCTTAGTGAAGCCGCAGCCTTTACTTCTGCCAGGGTGAAAACTGGCCCATGGGGGTGCAAGCTCCCCCAGGGAGTGACTATATATAAAGGCTCCACTGGAATCCCTGCCACCACCTGTCATCCTGCAGCTCTTTACAGCTCAACCCGATGATAGAAACCATCCCATCCTAGAACTTGGCTGTTCACTCAGTGCTCCCCTAAAGATCTTATCGACCAGAGTGCCCAAGAAGCCGTCGTCCTCTCTCAGATCCTAACCAGATCACCAGCCACAAGGGCCAATGGAATTTCCCTAGGTCTTATTAAAACAAAGAGGGCATTGTGCTTCTCAAATTCCCTTTGGGAAAAAAATAATTCTGCTGTGAAGATAAAAATAAAAAAAGAGAGAAAATACTGGAAAACTGTTTCCCCCTCCTATTTATTTCCCTTTCTGACTGCCAACTTAGAGTGCCAAGAGGAGGCATGATGACAGCTATGGAGCCCCCAGATCTCTCTTTCCCTGGAGGGTTTAGCAGGGTCATGGAAGCGGTAAGGGAATCTCCAGCTCTCTTGGCAGGGGCCTCTTTTAAGAGCACAGTGATTCCTATGTCTCCCTGGTGCTCCTAATGAGACAGCTAGAAAGCAGTGGTGACTGCGGACTGTGGAAAAGTCCTGCCTTCCCAGGGACTGGCCTGGTTTCTCTGTTCAGTCCATCCATAATGGGTGGTTGCCATTATGGATGAAGGTAAAGGATGCTCAGAATTGGATACTGAGACTTATAGGGAGATGATTACTTTTTAAAATGCATGCATATGTGTGTGTGTGTGTGTGTGTGTGTGTGTGTGTGTGTGTGTGTCTACACTGACAGGGTGGGTGAAGGGGAGGGGAGTCTGAAATAAGGAAAGGAAACTTTAGAGGAACTTGTGTCTTCCTGCCCTCACCTCCAGATGCTGGTGGAGGGGCTGAGACTCACTGTTTCCAGTGGCATCGGCCTATGCGGATGAGAAGTTGGGCAGAGGAGGGTGAAGGCTCAGAAGGTGTCTTAGCCTCTACCTCCCATCAACCATCTCCAGGCCCTTCTGATGATGTTTGGCTGCTATTGGTGTGTGGAGAGAAGGATGAGGGTAGAGAGTTGGAGGGGACTGACTGGGAGGCCATTTAGGTGAGAATGGTCATCAGAGGTCCCTAGAGAGAACACCTTTTTATTTTTTGTCTGGCACCAGCATTAAGACTCTCTCTGCAAAACAAAACCAACCAACCAAACAAACAAAAAAGACTCTCCTTCCATCTCTGAAATGGGTTTGTTTTGTGAAATAAGTGTACTTGGATTAGAAATCCTATAACATTAGTCCTTGATGATGGGACTTTCAGGAAGAAAATAAGAAATAATATGTGTAGTTTGTCTTAATAAAATTTGGCCCTGCATCTCTCTTTCTTGGTGTCCTTTCATGCCATGACTATGAAAGTAAGATGACAGACTTGGTCAGGGAGGGCAGCACTCAGACTCCACCCATCAGTTAGTAATGCAAACAGCTTGGAGTCAGACAAGCAAGGGTTAAAAATCTCAGCTGCCGATTTACCTCTGAACTCCAACAAGCTACTTAATCTTTGAACCCTGGTTTTCTTATCTGTAAGTAGAGTCTCAGAACATCTACCTCATCATTAGGTTGTTAAATGAGGGAGTGAAAAGTTCATCTGAGTGCCTGGGAAATAACAGTACCTCACTAAATGGGAATCATTGATATTGTTGCCATTATTATCTTTATTATTTTCATTATTGTGTTGAACACAGAATATTTGAAAACCTGGGATGTTGAGAGATGATTCCAGAACTTGCCCTTATGGAGCTCACAACTACCTAAGGTGGTCAGTTTAAGTCAGGTCAAATTAACTCAAATTAAGACAGAGGAAACAATTGGAAGAGAATTGAATGGGAATTCTAAGAACCACAGGCTCCTGGAAGTGAAACAAAACCCCTGGAAGAGGACACCTGACCGGGGGCGGGCCTTAAGAGGCTGAGGTTTTAGTCAGGTGAAGACCCCAAGGATGACTCTGTGAAATGGATCTTGGTGTTCTTATTGGCCTCTCTGATTGGGATCACATCTTTTTGGAAGAGGAGAAATGATTCTTGCTGCAAACAAAGGTTCAAGGGACCACAGAGCTCTTGAGTACCACATGGGTGCTATTTCCTAGAGAAATAAACAAAGCCTGGGGAACATATAAAGAAGTATTATCTTCACTACCAATTAGTGTTGTTCATCAGGGCAAGAGAGCTCTTTTAAAGAGTCTTGCAAGCAGATCGTAGAACACAACTTAGGACAGCAGAGTTGAGACTTGGGGATGTACCTGGCATCTGTTAAAGGGCAAGGTGCTCAGCCCAGAGGTGCCTGAGTAGTCCAAGTGGAAAAAGCATCTGAGATCTATTTTTTCTCCTAGAAAAGAAGCAGTGCATCTCATGGTTCTATAAACATAGCTATTAACATTTAATAGTTTATATTACACCCAGACAGCAAAAGCTAAGGGACTCACGTTATAGTGAGTAAGATTTCAACTGCATGTATCTGCTCTCATTTTCTCTTCCTCTCCCTTTTAAAGGTTCATCCCTAAGGAGGGTTAGCTGGGTGGTAATATGGTGAACACATTTTGGGTTGTAGGTCCCTGCAGGCCCCTTTCTTAATTTCCTCCCTCCAGTGCCAGGTTAAGATCAGCATTTCTACCACTAGTGTTTCATGACTGTGGTTAAAGCATCTCAGTGCTTAAATGCTAATAATACTCTTATGAAGAATCATAGCATGAATGAATTTCAGATTTCTTCCTAATACAAATTTCCCCAGCAGAGAGAAAAACAGAACAAGGGCTCTGCGCACCTTACAGGTGTCTTGAAGGATTGTTTTCATGATGTGCAGATGAAGAAAACAGCAAGGTTGGAGGGGGTGCCAAAAATGAGCTCTGTGCTTCCCAATCCTCCATAGTTCCTAGGAGCCCCTGCAGTGGGTCCAAGGATTGAATATTAAACAGAATTTACAAATGATATATATGTAAACAGAACAGGATTGATAGCTTTTCCTCTCATTGGTTACTTGTTTGTCATCAGAAATGAGTATGATCTACAGTTTTTTATTATTCTTTCCACTGGGAAAGAGAAAAATTTCACTCAACAAACATCTATTCTGCACCCACTTTGGACTCGGCACTATGTCAGGTTTTAGGAATGCAATTTTATAAAACATATGATTCCATGGTTTGGAGCTTACCATCTAGTAGGGAAGACACTCTAATGCAAGTAAATAAACAAAATCATTACAAATTGTCCTAAGTGCCAAAAAGGAAACAGAGAAGATGCTAATAAAGGTGGAGGAGGGATGTTCCTCAGAAACTGGCAGAAAGGAGGTAACACAGAGGCTGAGATCTGAGAGCTGAGGAGAAGCCAGCCACTGATGACTAGAAGAACTGAAGTAGGAGAACCCAAATTCCTTCCAGGAAATCCCAAAGTGCAAGTGACCCTAACTTCAGTCTGATCCAACATTCTTGAAAGACACAGAATTCAAGCAGTCCCTAACTAGCACCTAAAACAATACCACTTGGCACCATGTACCTTTTCAGTAAAAGCCTCAAGGGACAGAAAACTCTTTACTCAAAGAAAAGAAGGGCGGTCTTAATTAAAACAACTAAATATCATATGTCAACATTCTAAAAAGCTCTATTTGATGTTGCAACTATGATATCCACTGGGATTGATTCTTGTAACACGCTTGGGGACTTCTAAATCGGGCCCGTTCCCTAGAGTCCAGGCTGGTGGGCAGAGAAGACTGCATCTGAGGGTGCTGGGAAAGAGCCAGCAGGGTGTGGTCCAGAGGAGGCTTGGCATCAGAGGAGTCAAAACAGTTAGACTCAAGTGCACAGAGAGGGGGCAGTGAGGAAGGAGGGAGAAGCACAGCAGCAGGGAAGCCAGGCCACAGAAGTTGTGCAAGACGCCAGGCACGCAGGCATCACTGGGGACATCTCTCAGCTGGCAGCAGGGTAATGGCCCCTGATCTGGGTTTTTTGGGAACTGGGCCTCTAGACTCAGAGGAGGGTATTGACATGGGCAAAGCACAGCTTCGGCCTAGGGGCTAGGTAACTAGGCAATGCATTGGGACAGAGCCTTGAACAGAGTACAAGGTGGGTACTCATTATCAGAGATGATGTGAGGTGCTGCTAGATACATTTGTTGATGGTAACATATACTAGATGCCTTCAAAGTCATAAGTCTAAGGAATGGCCAGTAGTGAGACTTCCACGCACCTCATCAAGACTGATGGTGGGTGGGAGATGATTTTTGTCAGGGGATCTGATACTGCTCTGAAATCACCCCAAGCTGGCATCTCCTTCAATTCCACGGAAGGCTAACGCAGCCCTGGGAGGTCATGGCCAGGAAATGGCTTAAGTCCCCTCTGTCCCTTTAACCTAGCTGAATTTCCATCACTCTGACACAAGGCCCTATGGAATGGGGTGCATTCATTTGTGAAAAAGGGTTTCCTCTGAGAGAAACTGAGAGCCAGGCATGAACCCATTCTGGAGAGCTCTTACCCTGGGCTCTGGAGCCTGGCCAAGCTGAAGCTCCTGGGCAGCAGACATTCAAAGCAGGGTGGGAAGTTGTTCTATGCCTTCCTGGGACTTTATTTATTTGTTTTTTTTAAAGGATTGAAATATCATGTAGAGGGGCTTAAGCTTACAAACGTTTAAGCCAAAAGTGTACATTTGGAAACCAGTGTCAAAACCTACGTAGGGTGTCATTAGCTGGAGAAAAGTCAATTTAAAGAAAACAAAAACCAAAACCACCACCTATTTTGGAATTGTTAAGTGCTATTTTCTAGGCTCTGTGCTAAGAGATTTTATGAATTATCACTTCATCCTTATAATAATCTTATGATATCATTTGATACACCCCCCCCTTACAGATAAAGAAACAGATTCAGTAACCTGCACAATTAGTAGGTGGTAGAAGTGATATTCAAACACTTCTCTTTGTCTACAACCTGCTTCTTTTAAGTGCTTCTCATTTATTTTTACGGAAAAGGGCAAGATACAAAGCTGTACCCACACCACAATTCCAATGTGTAAAGTAGGCAATTAAAAGAATAAAGATTTGAGGGGCGCCTGGGTGGCTCAGTTGGTTAAGTGACTGCCTTTGGCTTGGGTCATGA